AAACCATTTCAGGTGACTACCTCTTGAAGCTCATGGAGAGAATGCCAAGAGTGTGCAAAGCAGTAATCAGAGCAAAGGGTGGCTATTTTGAAGAAACTAGAATATAAAACATGTTTTCAGTTATTTCACCTTTTTTTGTTAAGTACATAACTCCACATGTGTTCATTCATAGTTTTGATGCCTTCAGTGAGAATCTACAATGTAAATAGTCATGAAAATAAAGAAAACGCATTGAATGAGAAGGTGTGTCCAAACTTTTGGCCTGTACTGTATATATAGATAGATAGATAGATAGATAGACAGATAGATAGATAGATAAATCTTTTTCACATCAATTGTCTGTTGATATTATTAATTATAATACCACCTTAACAACAGTTAAGTAACAGTAAGTAACAACTGCTGACGAAGGACATTTCATGGGACATGCTAGTTAAATTAAAAATCATTCCAGTCATTTACCTGCTGTCAAAGAATCAGCTGTTTGGGTTTTGTTCTCTGTCCCAGTAGGCTTTGCTGGAGCAATGCTGGCAGAAGTTTTACTGCTGAAAAATGACTTTTTAATAACAGTGGGTGAAGGACTGGGGCTGGGACCTGGGCTCTGAGATGGAGACTGGTTGGGTGTTGTGCCTTTCCGGTAAAAATGAGGACTCCCTGATGGTGATTTCTCCTGTTTCTCCTCCTCAGCACCCTCCTTCACATCTACTGGCTCAGTATACTTCTGCCGTATGTAGTCAGGACCTGAAATACCAACAAAAAACAAAAACAAACAAACAAAAAAACATAAATAAAAATGCTTTATGAACAAAGAAAAATGACTAATGTATGTTATATTTAATGGGAAAATTAAAACTTTTGCTACTGTCATGGTCCATCATGTGTGTCACTTATGATAACACTGTGCTCATCAAAGTCACTGCCGAGATCTGAGAGCTAAGCAATATTTTTACATAGTCAGTAAATCAAGATGTCCGTGCTGTCAAGTGATGACAGGTTATAAACAAAGTAACAGTTTATCCAGATTATCCAAACCCCTTTATTTGGACGTTAAACTGAAATGTCAGTAATTATCCCTGATTATACATGAAATTGTGTGCACACAACTGTGGTAAGTACAGTTGGTCACAGCAGAATCGGTGAGTATCACCTGCATTTTCTCTTTCAAATAAGTTTGGTTGAATTGGAGGATTGCTAATGTTTCTTTACCTGCTGGACCTACATTGTATTGGGTTGATGACCAAAACTATGTAAAGAAGACCCATGTTGTTAAACACTGCACATTGACTGTTCAAGTCGAAACTAGAGGAAAGAAAAAAGCTCTTAAGCTTGTATTAACCACAGACCTTATTACTGATATTGAAGCAAAAACTAACTCACTTCAAGACCAGGGAACCAGGGATGATAAAATGGTAACCCATTTTTGGGTTTTAGGACTCATTCCCGAAGGGCTGCAGCAGTTGGATCATTTCATGGAAACTGTTCAGATTGGACCTTGGAATTTTAAGGCTTTTGATCCTAAACAAATGTAAATGCATTGTATTTCAATTTGTATTTCATAGCATGAATTATATGTTAGACGTGCAATAGGGGGACACTAGTGAGCAGGGTAGTAAGGTGTCTTTTTTAGAGCTCTTGCAGGATCAGCAATATTTTCAAAATAAAACAGCCATTTCTACAGGAAGACCTACTTGAAACTTAATTTAGACCTCCATGAAGACATTACAAGTTAGATAATGTGAAGAAAGCCGATCTGAATGGTGGAAAAGCTATAACTATACAAGTACGGAGGTAACGCCCTGAAGCCTGCAAGAGCTACACGGGTAATAACACAAACTACAGGTAACTTGGACAAGCCCTTGCTGACACGTGCGGATATTGAAAGCATGTCTACCGAAGAAATTAAGACAGACCTTTTATCATCCTTAAGGGGAGATATTTTCAAGATTATAAGGGAAGAAATTAAAAGGGCACTGGCGGAGGACTTAAGCAACCCAAAAGCTACAAGAAGTGCAGTGCAAAATTGCAAATAACCTGACTGCAACCCGATCAGATATTGATCACATGAATGCGGACATACAAGATACGAAGGATAGCCTATCAACACAGTCAGATGAGGTTGCTTCATTACAAGCCACCATAACCAATCTATAGAGTGACGGGTGGGAACTTTTAAAGACCACTGTGAAGACATGGAGAGCAGAATGAGACAAGGCAACATTCGGATAGTTGGCATTGATAAGGCTCCAGCTCACCTGAGGCCATGGCGATGGAGGAGATTGGTGAGGTATGAGGGTGCAAGGTTGTTTAGGGCTTTGTAGGTGGTGAGGAGGATCTTGAGGTTGATGCGTTGTTTTATGGGAAGCTGATGGAGGATGGGAGTGATGTGTTCTCTGGAGGGGGAGGGGGAGGGGTGATGTAAAGCTGGGTATCATCGGCATAACAGTGAAAGTGAAGACCATGGCGGCGGATGATGTGACCTAGTGGGAGCATGTAGAGAATGAAGAGGATCGGGCCAAGCACTGAGCCTTGAGGGACTCCATGTGAGACAGGGGTGGTGTGGGATTTGTGGTTGTTGATGGAGATGTAGTGGAATCTTTCGGACAGGTAGGAGGTGAACCAGGAGAGGGTGGAGTCAATGATGCCAATGGATTTCAGACGGCTGAGGAGGATGGAGTGATTGACGGTGTAGAAGGCAGCACTGAGGTCGAGAAGGAGGAGAATGGTGAGGGAGCCAGAGTCAGAGGAGAGTAAAATGTTGTTTGTAACTTTGAGTAGTGCTGTTTCAGTGCTGTGGTGAGTTCGGAAGCTGGATTGGAATGTTTCATACAGGTTATTGGAGAGGAGGTATTGCTCGAGTTGTGTTGCGACGGCTCTTTCCAGTAGTTTTGAGAGGAATGGGAGGTTGGAAATGGGTCTGAAGTTGTTGGGGTCGTCGGGGTCAAGGCCAGGTTTTTTAAGGAGGGGGGTGATGGCAGCGAGCTTAAGAACCTCTTAAGGGAATGATGCCAGAGGTAAGGGAGGAGTTGATGGTGTCCGTGATAAGTGGGGCAAGAGAGGTGAAACAGGCTTTGACGAGGTCAGAGGGTATGGGGTCCAGGGGGGAGGTGGATGATTTCATGGTGGAGAGTATTTTGGAGATGTCCGCTGTGGCTATGGGTGAGAAGAGGGAAAGCCAGTGGTTAGGGGATGAAGGAAGTGGAGGTTCCTGGTCGGGGGTGGTGGCAGAGGAGGTGGCAAGCTGGTTGTGGATGCTTTCTATCTTGGAGTGGAAAAAAAGATAGGAAGTTGTTGCATTTCTCCGGGGTGAATGAAGATGATATGTTGTCTTAGGGTTTGAGGAGTTTATTTATGGTGGAAAACAGAGTGCGTGGGTTGGAGGATCCAGAATGAATGATGCCAGAGTAGTAGACAGAGCGGGCTTCGTTGAGTGATAATTTGTAGAGTTGCATGTGATCTTTGTACGCGAGGGCGTGTACTGTGAGACCGGTTTTCTTGCGTAGTCGTTCTAGTTGTCGTAGTTGTTTTTTGAGTTTTGAGTTTTTTGAAGCCAGGTGGTCGGCGATGGAGAGGTCGGTGCTGGAGATGTTATGGATGTGGAGGCCAGTGGAGCAAACCAGGTCTAAGATGTGTCCACGGTTGTGGGTGGGAAAGTTGATGTGTTGGGTGAAGCTAAAGCAGTTGAGTAGGTCCAGAAAGTCCAGAGCATTTTTACAGTTACAAGTTTCATTAAGGCAGAGAAGGTCAAGTTGCTTGTCAGTGATAAAGTCGTTGAGAATAAGACTTTTATTGTTGAGGGATCTTGTTTTGAAGAGGGCGAGTTTAAGGTACTTTTGTTTGAAGTTGATGGGGCGGAAGTAGGGATTGGGCGGAGGTTGAAAGTGTTCACGCTGGAGTTCTTCTGATGACGTGTGTTGTTGTGATGACACGATGAGGAAGTGAGGGAGCCGGTGTGTGAACTGCGGTGCGACCACAGCGATGAGACACTGTTTATAACGGTGGAACTGTATATGAACTTGCGGCGGGAGCCTCGGTGAATGTAACGGGGACGGAGAAGAAGTCGAGAATTTTTTAGTGTGGTGATGAGTTCAGTGGAAGGAGGCATTTGGGGAGCTAGCTGGCGGAGCTGCACGGATGTGTAGCGGAGCGCCATGGCCGAGGCCGCGAGGAAGCAAGCGCCGCTGGATGTGGACGGTGGCTGCAACAGGCGAAGAGGCAGAAGGTGGAACAGGATCATCAACACAGTGGCAGCTGGAGAGACCAACCCGCACGGGCCCATCAGGTTGGAGGCCAGGAAACCAACGTAGCCGTCCAGCTCAGGGAGCCAGCGTTAGCCAGCTACTAGCCAGCTAGCTAGCATGCTCAGTTTGAAGGCAGCGGTCCTAGCCAGCCAGGGGCTAACCGCACTGAGACAGGTGGAAAAACCTGCCCGGATCTCCACCCTCAACTGAGCGGCGATGGAAGACGTCCGTCAGATGGGAGCCGGGTTGGCTTGGAGAAAAGGCAGCAGTCCCAGCCAGAGCAGAGGGCCGACGTAACTACACCGGCACAGGTGGAAGCCTGCCCGGGTTAACCTTTGACCAGGTTACGGCGATGGATCCTGCAGTGGAAGTCCTTCAACACCGGTAAGTGTCCAAGCTAACGCACAGAGCACCGAAGGGGGTTCTGAGGCAGTAGCCTAGCACCACCGTGGAGGCTTGTTTGAGAGATCCGGTAGGTAACGTTAGGTAAGTTGTCCGTATTCCGTTATGGTCAGCCGATTGACAGGCAGATTGAGTGGTAGCTAGCGAAAAATAGCAAAAGCAGCAGCAAAAGAGAGCAAACTACTTAAAACTTAGAGCGTTCAGAGCGAGAAGCGGCAGCCAAACGTGCCAGCATCCTCTCGCTGGACGCAACACGCTCCAATAAGAAGTATTGCGGATGGACCGCAACATAAAGACTGACCGCACCTTAACTGCCAGAAAACCTTAAGACAAGCTGCGAGTGATCATTGCAAAGCTTTTTTGTTGTCATTTACACTGCAGAGGATGCACTTTTCAATTTCGTTGTTATGAAAATGACAATGACAATAAAGTATCTATCTATCTATCTATCTATCTATCTATCTATCTATCAAGTTACACTATGATGGAGATGCTGCAGAGATCCTGAAGAGAGCAAGGGATAGAGCCCTGCCGATCTGCAATGGGAGTAGGTCGCTATATTCCCCAACTACAGCCCCGGTTTTGCCAAAGCTAGAGCTGCTTTTACAGACACACGGAAGGCACTACAGGGACGTAAAAGAGTTTGGTAAGGCCTGCTGTTCCCGGCCAGGCTGTGGATCTCATTTAACGATGAAGATAAAGAATTACTTGATCCCCAAAAAGCCATCAAGTATATACGAGAGACAGTCATCCCATCCCATCCCATCAGAGCCTGAAGACTGAGTGTATCCTCACCCATGAGAACAGTAAGAACTGAACATTATAGTGAGAGACTCTACTCGTGCATAAATAGGCTATTCAATATTCTGGTGTTGACTTTACCTGTTCACATTTCCACCACTTGCCTTAAACAGAAGTGAAAGGGTATATTTTCCTTTATACATACTTGAATATATTTGAAATGCCTTCGATGCCACTTTTAATACCTCAATGTTGGAATTTTGTATTATCTTTATTCTTATAATTGCCAATTAATGTATGACGCTTGTGCTGAATCTGATTCAGTGTTAGATTAGGTCCTGCAGGAGCCTAAATGCTTTT